ATGGGGGACACTGTACCCGGTATCGGGGGAGTGAGATGGGGGACACTGCACCAGGTAACGGGGGGAGATGGGGGACACTGTACTCGGTAACGGGGGGAGATGGGAGACACTGTACCCGGTAACGGGTGAGATGGGGAACAGTATTCCCGGTAACGGGAATTGGGTGGTGAAGGAGGCTGGTTGAGTTCCTCAGGGCCCCATATTGCGGTATTTACGGTACCGGAAGTTGTAGTGATCGGTTCCGGTTGGAGCCGTGCGGCCTTGAAGCAGCGGAAGCCGAGCCCGCGGTTTACAGAGACAGTAGGCACCATGAGGGATGTGAGCGGGTTCCTTCAACAGCAGCAGAGCGGGGCTGGAGAGCTCGGCCCTGACTGGCAGCAAATGGAGGAGCTTTACAACAAAAAGTGAGTGAGAACCTGGGGCCGGGGCCGGGGCTGGGGCTCTGCCCCGTTATAGCGAAACCCCGATTCCTGGGATGGCCCCCGCTGAGTCACTGTCCAGGCCCTTCTCTCTAAACCCACTATCTGTGTCTGTGTCTATGTATTAGTATGTGTATGTGTGCATCTGTCTGTCTCAGGCCTTGCCGGTCCCGACATTGTACTCTATTGGGGGTTCCGGGTAAAGGGGGTGGGAGAAAGTGGGCTGGGACAAGCGGGAGGTGAGGATCTCCATGTGTTAGGATGGGGATACTGGAACTAGCAGTTTTCAACAATGGACTATGTGTGTCTGTTGTTGGTTTCCTCTGGATGGTGCTAACGGCTCCTGATGCCTCCACACTGTAACCCTGACTTGTTTTAAATGCAGACTGTGGCACCAGTTGACTGTCCGACTCCAGAACTTTGTCCAAAATCCCTGCTTCGCCACAGGTGATGGCCTGATCAAGGTAGGTGATTTAGCCTGAACATTCCCTTCAACATACTAATTTTAGTTTGCTTCTTTCATCAAATAATAAAACTTTTTTTTTGCAGCTGTATGAGAATTTTATTAGTGAATTTGAACACAGGTAAGAAGTGCTTTTTTTTTAATTACACCTAAAAGTATATTATACTGAAAATTAACAGCATGGAAGATGCTATTCAGGCCATCCTTTCTATTAAACTTGAGCTAGTGCAATTCCATACTAATCTCTGTCTGCTGGTGCCTCTTCCATGATTCCCCTGGTTCAAGAATTTATCACCTTCTTTTCCCAATGACATCAGAGACATAGATGTTACTTACAGAATGAAGCCACTTGTCCATAGACTTCATGTCTGCTCTGGAATAGATCACAGATCTCTGTAGAGCAAGCTGTTTAATTCTTCATCTTTCTCCCTGAAGCCCTGTAAGTTTATTTCCCTCAAATGCTCATCTGATTTTGTTTTCTTACAATTGTTAATTGTCCCCACTTCCACTACTTTGAGACAGTGAATTCCAGACCTTTTTTAACCACTTTGTGTGTTCTTTCATGGCAAAATCATACCCCTGCTTCACCTGTCTCTGAAAGCCATAAATCTGTGCTGCATTGTTGACATGACATCTGCTAACAGGAAGAGATTTCCATTGTCTATTTTACCTAAGATTGCACAACGTAATAGACCTCTATTAAATCTCTGCTCAATTTACTTTGCTCTAAAGAGTAAAAAACACAGAACAATTTCTTATTTCTAGGCAAATTTTGGTAAATGGCTCCTGCAGCCTTTCAATAGCTCCTTAATTCCTGAAGCCTGGTGACCAGAATTGGATGCAATACTACAGCTGTGACCGAAAAAGTTCTATAAAGATTCAGCATAACTTCTTGCTTTTGAATTTAATACCTCTGATTATGGGAATTAGCATTGCTTATGCCTTGCAAATTATTTTCCCAAATGCCCTGCTACCTTAAAAGATCAATATGCATGAATTCCTAGGTCCTCCTGTATTTAAACATTCTAGAAATTTGCTAAAAAGCCTACGTTGCCACTACCTATCTATTATTCCAAAAGCATCACCTTATTTTTTCTGCATTAATTTCCACATGCCACTCGTCTGCTGGTTCTGATAGTTTGGCAAGGTTCTGTTGCAGGTGATATGTTCATCCTCACTTTGCCACAAGTCAGTTTGGCATCATTTGGAAAATTTTGAAATTTTACTCCATGTTCCACAATCAAAGTCACACATGTGTATCAAAAAAATGTGGTCCCATGCCTGACTCCAGGGGAAAACCACTTTTCTCTGCCAGTCTGAAAAACAAATGACTTGCTGTTTTCTGTCCTGGAGCTCAATTTTTGGTCACTGATCCTTCTAGGAAGAGATGACATGTTTGAAAGAGGACTTCATGGGTTTCTGCAGTGCATTTTATATCTGGTATGCACTGCTGTTACTGTGCCAGTTTTGGAGGGAGTGAATATTTAAGGTGTTGAATTGTTATCTGGCAAGTGGGGAGATGAATTGTATTCTTGATTTGTGCCTTCTATTATAGGGAACAGCCTTTGGCAAGTCAGGAGTTGTTACTTGCTGCAGAATTCCCAGTCTCTGATATGCTGTTATAGACACAGTATTTATATTGTTGGTTTCATTCAATTTCTGGCCAGTGAAAACACCTAGCATGTTGATGTTGACATAATGTGATTCAGTGATAATTACAATTGAGTGTCACAAGGAAATAGTTAGATTCTCTCTTGTTGGCATTGGTAATTATCTGGTACTTGGTACTTTTCAGTCCAAGTCTGAATGTTATCCATGTTTTCTAGCATATGGTCAAGGACTATTTAAATATCCAATCGAGGCACCAATCGATTTGCAATGATCAGCCAAAAATCCTTACATCTGATGTTGTGATGGAGTGAAGGTCATTGAAGTAACTGAAGATGATTGGACCAAGGACATTACCCTGAGAAACTCCTACGGTGATGTCCTGTAGTTGAGATAATTGACTTCCAACAGCCACAATCATCTTCCTTTGTACTAGATATAATTGCAACTGAGGGAGAATTTTCCTTGGATTCCCGTTGTCAAATTTTGCTGGTGCTTCTTGATGTCACACCAGGTCAAATGTCACCTTGATGTCTAGGGCAGTTACCCACCTCGCCTCTGACATGCAGCTCATTTGTTCATTTTGGGGGCAAGATTATAATGACGTGAGTTGACTGGCCCAAACTGTTGAATTCTAAACTAAGTGTCAGTGAATGAGTTATTGCTGCTTAGATATTTTCTAATTAACCTGTTCAGAGCTGGGTATATGAATAGGAAGGGTTTAGAGTGATATGGGCCAAATGCTGGCAAATGGGACTAGATTAATTTAGAATACGTGGTCAGCATGGATGAGTTGGATTAAGAATCTGTTTCTGTGCTGTATGACTCTATAATGTGCTGGGCTTCTCAATCGCTGGCAATATTTATGGAGCCGCTTTCTCCCGATAGTTGCTTAATTATCCACATTTATGCTGTGATGTAGTGGGAATGCAGAGCCTTGATCTGTTCTCTTGTGGGATTGCTTAGCTCAATTGCAGGCTGTTTCTGCTATTTAACATAATGTAACTTCAGATTGGTACTGTTGGGTATGCCTGGAGCTACCCCTGCACTTCTCATTGTGCTGGAATTGGACCCCTAACATATAGTGTCATAGTCGTACAACACGGAAACAGACCCTTCGGTCCAACTAGTCCATGCTGAACATGATCCCAACTAAAAGGAATAAAATACATGCTGGGTCATGAGTTCACAATTCTGCCATTGATGGCCCATGGTAACTCCTGGATAACGAATTTTGAATCTGTCCCCTTTTAGGACAGTGGTGGTGTTCAGAGCATGATGGAGGGCATACTCAGGACAAAAATAAACTTAGTCTTAACAATAGATGTGTAATGGCCCTTTGCGCCACTGCTGTTATGGATGTATGCATTTGCGACAGATGGATTGATGACAAAGTCAAATCAGGTTTTCCCTATGTTGGATTCCTCACCATCTGCTGTAGGACCAGTCTAGCAGCTATGTCCTTCAGGACTTGACCAGTTCAATGACTAGTGGTCCCACTGAGCAACTGTTGGTGATGGGTAGTGTAGTTTCATCCCAGATTACTTTCTGTGCCCTTCCTACCATCAGTTCTAATTCTAAGTGATGCTCGATGTGGAGGATTATTGATTCATCAGTTGGGGAAGGGCAGTCGGCAGTAAGCAGGAGGTTTTCTTGCCTGTTTTATTTACTGCAGTGACAGCTTATGGGGTCCTGGGTCAATATTACAGCATCCCCAGCTAATTCCATCTGGCTATGATCCATTATCCTGCTACATCTGATGGGTCTGTCCTGCTGGCATACCCAGGGATGGTGTGGAGGAGTCTGGGTTATTGTCTGTAAGTTATGATTGGTGGGTATGACTGTATCAAGTTGGTGCTTGATTAGTCTGTGGGACAGGTCTCTCTCAATTTGGGTACAAGTTTTCTGGTATTAATGAGAATACTGCAGGGTTGATTGTGCTGGGTAAGCTTTGTCATTACCATTACCAGGTTGTCTATCTGGTTGTATTCCTTTCCATTTTTCTCTAGCAATTTGATACTATAGAGTGGCTTGCTTCACTTGAGACCAGTGCATCAGTGATTTGGGAATCGCATGTAGGTCTGACTGGATAAGGGTGACAGGTTTCCTTCCCAAAAGGACATTGAACCAGATAGATTCATGGTCACTTTTCTTTTTGAAGATTAGCTTTTCCTCTTCTGATTAATTGAATTTAAATTCCACTGGCTGTCTTGGTGGGCATTTTACAGGAGCATGTTCCCATCCTATTAGTCAGGCCCTCAGGATTATGTATCTAATGAACTAACCCTAACCCTCCCATTCCATGACCCTCAGGATTATTAAACAGGTTTTATATGGTATTTTTGACAAATACCTTTTTTAAAATCCATATAGACAGCAGTCGTTTTATTCCATTCAACTACCTGTTGACTCATAAAGTTCGATCAGTGAAGCAAGATTTATCTTTTCACAAATGCACACTGGCTCTGCTTAATTAACTCAAACCTCTACTTTTTTAAACCCTGATTATTGATTCTGAATTTTTGTGTACCACTGATATTAAAGAGACCAACCTGTAGTTACCAGGTACGCATTGATAGCAATTTTTAAATATTGTGTATTGTCAGACTCCAAGCCTTTGACATCTCCCATTCCAGTCTAGGAAAGATTGGAAGATCATGGGAAGCCCTTCCTCTGTCTCCACATCCAATTCTTTTAGTAACCCAAGGTGCAAGGCATTTGGACTAGGCAACTTATTCTCTTAGGTTTAGTCAACTTTCAAGTACATCCTGCATTTGCAACAAATTGCATTTATGTCGCACTTCTAATGTAATAAAACATGCCAGAGCAGTTTACAGGAGCATAATAAAACCAGGTATGGGAAAGAGCCACACAGGAAGCTATTAGCTCAGGTGACCAAAATCTTGGGTCAATGAGGTTTTTTAAGGAGGAAAGTGAAGAGGAAAGGCAGAAAGGTGTAGGGTGGCATTCCAGATCTTGGTTCCTGGGCACAGCTGCAAATGGTGGCAAAATCAAGATTGGAGATGCCCAAGAGGCCAGAGTTGGAGCAGATATCTGAGGGTAGTGGGTCTGGAGAAGATTAGAGTTGGGAAGGCAGAGGCAATAGCAAGAGTTGAAAAAAAGACGTTGCTTGATTAGTTGCTGTTGTAGGTCAGCGAGACCAAGCTGTTCAGTGGGAAATGGAACTTTGTATGAGTTAAGACATGGGCAACCAAGCATTTCATAACTTCCGGTTTACAAACTATAACCTGGGAGACCAGCTCAGATTGTGTGGAACCTGAGTCTTGAGGCAACAAAAGCATGGCTGAGGGATTTCAGCAGAAGATGAACTGTGACAGGCAAAGTCAGGTGATGTTACTCAGGTTGTATTAGTGATACTATGAACATGAAGTTTGGAGCTCCTCTTGAGATCAAATATGACACTAATGTTGTGAACATTGATTTAATCTGACTGTTACCGGGCTCAGGAACAGAGTTGGTAACTATGGAATGGAGGTTAGATTTGGGACCAAAAATGATGGTTTCGGACGTCTCAACATTTATTGGAGGAAATTTATCTTCATCCAGTACTGAATGCCAGCCAGGAAATCTGATTAATTTGGTAATAGTGCAGCAGTTAAGAGAGGTGGTGGAAAAAGTAGAGCTGGGTGTCAACGGTATACTGGTGAAAATTTTCGCTGTGTCTTTAGATGATGTTACTGAGGGGCCAACATGTAGGTGAGAAACAGGAAAGAGGCAAAATGTATTCTTACCAGATAACAGTACAGGAGCAGGAAGAGAAGTTATTGCAAGTAATGCTGTGATTGTGATTAAGCAGATAAGAATGGATTGAAGTTTGAGTGTTCCTACCCAGCTGAACACAGTAAGTGTGTGTTTTGAGGATGGTGTGGTCAACTGTAGCAAAGGCTTCAGACTATGAGGAAGGAAAGTTTTTTTTTATCTTTGTCAGAATCAAATAAAATGCCGTTTGTGACTGAATTGTGTTGGTGTCTTGGCTGTGTGGTTCAGATTTAAATATGGAATTGCAAGAATGACAAATTGATTTGAGAAGCAGCAATGCATTCAAGGTCTTTAAGGAGAAAGGGAATTAGAGGCGGGATGCTTATTTACTGTACAAAATGGAAAAGAACAAAACTATTTAAAGTAGAATTTCTAAATTGGAAGAGAGCTAACTTCAGTGGAAGTGGAAGGCAGTCGTAAACCACCGCCGATAAAATGCTAAAAAAACCATTTCAGGGTGAAGCATCAGCAGATAATGAGCCAAGTATGGGCACAGCACATGATCATAGAATAGAATCCCTACAGTGTGGAAATGGGCCCTTCGGCCCAACAAGTCCCCACTGACCCTTGGAACGTCCCACCCAGACCCATCCCCCTAATCTGTGTCGCTGCACACTGGGCAATTTAGCATTGCCAATCCACCTAGTCTGCACATTTTTGGACTGTGGGAGGAAGCCAGAACACCTGGAGGAAACCTGTGCAGACTCCACACAGATGGTCGCCCAAGGGTAGAATCGAACCTGGGTTCCTGGTGCTGTGAGGCAGCAGTGCTAACCACTGAGCCACCATGCAGCCCTCAAATGTGAATAAATGAAAGAGCTTCAGTTAAATGAGTGTGGGTCTAGTTTATAAAAGGGAACCAAAGATTGACAGAGAAAGCTGTAAAATTTAAGACTGGTTGAAAATCTGTCGTCATAACTACTTTTCACAAAGCTTTTAAAATTCTAGGATGCAACCCATTAGTTTTAGGAGATTTATCAGCCTTTAGACTCATTAGTGTTTTTTTTCCCTCCACTAACAGTTATAGTTTTTACCCATTAACCTCTGTACCATTAATTCATTTCTGTTGTTCTGAATATTATGTACATTCAAGAAAAGAGCCATTAATTTTGCCCTTTTACCTTTTGTTGCTCCTGTGTCCCTGTTTGCTGCTGTTTATCTATACTTGTACACTCTGTCCCTTCCTCTCTCACTCTGGGTATCATTGTCACAGTTGCCTTGCAATGCTTCCCATGTCGTTTGCTTTGCAAGCACGTGTGTCCCCCTCCGCCCACACACCACACCACACATACTCCTGTAATTAGGTTTAAAGTCCTCTTTACAGCCCTAGTTATTTAATTTGCCATGAAACTGGTCTCAGCATGGTTCAAGCAAAGTCTGTTGAACCGGAACAGTTCCCCTTTCCCCAGTACTAGTGCCAGTGCCCCATGAATTGAAACCTGTTCTTCCCACGCCAGTTTTATCAGTCATGCATTTGGCTCCTTTATTTTATTTACGCTGTGCCAATTTGATGCTCCTGATAGTGTCATCTTGGAGGGTCTGTATTTTAGTATAGCTCCTCACTGTGCAAAACCTTTCAGCAGAACTTCCTTCCCAGTCACTGTCATTCGTGTTGGTCTGAATGACAACAACTGCAGCCCTCCAAACCCACTTGATGTTCCTCCCTGATGAGATGCCCTTAATCCTGGCACTAGGCATTCAAAACAGCCTTCAGGCCTCATTTCATGGCTGCAGAGAACAGTATCCATCTTCTGAATTATACTGTTGGCCACTACTACTATATCGCTATATCCTTCCCCCATTTGAATGGTTCCCACAGTGTTTTCACAAGGTCACTCAGCCTCCCTAGAATCCCCATATGCCTCCATACAGCTTGTAAAATCTCATTACTGTTGGACAGTTGTAGGGACTGAAGCTACTTGAGAACTGTCCATTGGTGCCAATGTTTGAAGGGCAATAGAATATTTCCAATGGTGTGATTATTCTTTTCTTGTTTTCAACTCTGTAGTAAATGGATTTGGTGCTTTCCGGCTCTACATTTACTCGAGTAATCAGTGGTGACACATCACTCCCCTTCTCACTTTCCCTATCTTTTCTGAACACTTTTTAATATGTTCAAATAAAAGCAGGGTACTGCAGATGCCGAGGGTCAGAAATCAAAACAGTGCTGGAAAAACTCAGCAGGTCTGGCTGCATCTGTGGACTGTGATGTAGAGATTGCCATGGAGAAGGCACCAATTACTGATGAATAACCATTAGCTGTCATCTTTATTTAAATTTTAAACTAGTCACGTTAACTCTGGTCAGGACATTGCCCTGAGGAATCAACCAGCGAATGTCTGTCACCTGTTCTAGTTGAATCAATGCAATGCATGTCTGTGCTCTTTCTGTTTTCTGTCCTATGTGTTAATGTAAGTAGCTTTCAACAAATGTAAGTATGCCACATTGAAAACCTGACTGAATTCTAAATTGGCTGTCAGCATATTTCTTTGCATACTCCAAATTATCCAACAAGTGTTGTCCAGTTGCAGAATCCCATTTAATGTCAATGTTGTGAGATTTGCAAGAGTCAGGTAGTGTCAGCACCTTGTTGAAAACAGCTGAAGGGATAGTCTGTTTGACACAAATGACGAGTCTTTGGGGTGTGCAGCCTATATACCTGGCAGCACACTAGTCCTGAAATTCATACACCATATCCTTTCAGTTTGACAGCAGCATCCTGTTAGTGGCAAACAAATCTCTCTGATTTACTGCATTGTAGCACAGTGAAAAATTAGTGTCAACTGTTCACAAACATTTGAGATACTGTGCCCTTCCAGATAATCTGAATTAGAAACCACATAATTGGCTGTAAATAGCTTGATAAAGAGCTTGTTAATGTGCTCAGAACTCTCAGAAGCATTTTTGCAGGAAATTGCAAATAATAATTTGCCAAATATCATCTGAGTTCCAGCTGGAACAATAATTGTTTTGAGAGTAATTTCTTGATTTTGGGGGTTGGCAGTGGCAGGGAAGTGGAGTTATACTGGGAAAGAAGCACATTTTGCTTAAATTCTATTACTACTTTAAAGCAAAGCTCTTTAGATTAAACCCTTTTACAACATATTGTTACAGGATTAACCCTCTGTCTCTTGTGGAGATTGTTCTACATGTTGTGCGGCAAATGACAGGTGAGTCTGTTCTCCCCAGCATAGGATCAAAGGAAGGCCATTCAGCCTCCTGAGCATATTCTATCATTCAGTTAATCATGGCTGATCTGAACACCAATTCCATCTTTTTCTTGGCTCCATATTTCTTTGTGTTCTTGCCCTAAACAACCTTAGATCTGATTTTTGAAAGCCCCAATTGATCCTCAGCTTCAATAGCTTTTTGGTGAAAGAGTTCCAGATTTCCGCTATTCTTTTCATGACATCTGTGATGCCTGACTCTAATTTGAAGACTATGTCCCCTTATTTTGGACCACTTTAGAAGAAATAGTTGATGCCCTATCATTTCCTCTAATCATCAACTCCATTAGCTCACCCTTAATCTTCTAATGTGAATAAAAATCAACAATTCAATCAGCAATTGTAACTTAATCACTTTAGCCCTGGTATCATTGTGGCAAATCTGTGCTGCATTCTCTTCAAGGCCAATATTTTCTTCCTGAGATGGAGTGCCCTGGGGTGGTTATCTGACTAGCAACTTCTATGTCTAGGTTTTACAATAATAACTTGTATTTACCTTTACTGTAATAGAATGTACCAAAAAACTTCACAGGAGCATTGTAAAGCAAAATTTGACAGAACAACATAAGATATTAGGGGAAATGATGAAAAGTTTTGCTAAAGTGGTATATTTTAAGAAGCTCCTAAAACAAGGAGAACGAGGGAGAGCATGGAAACTGAGCTGAATGCAGTACTGTGAATGGCAGAGCAATTAAAATGAGGGATACGCCAGAAGCTAGAATTTGGAGGAGTGCAACGACCTTGGACGATTGGAGGAGGTGGTCACAGAAACATGGAAGGGTGAAGTTATGGAGGAATTTGAAGAAAAGGACAAAAATGAGAACATTCCTCAGTGAGCAGATGGATGAAATGGGACTTGGTACAAGTCAGAGCGTGGGCAACAGAGTTTTGGGTGACCAAGTTAGGAGGGTAGAATGTGGGAGCCCAGCCAGATATGCATCAAGTCTAGAGGTAACAAAGGCACGAACGAGGGATTCACCCACAGTTGAGCTGCGGCGGGGTCATCGTAGGGTGATATTACAGAATAATAAATGGTCTTAATTATGATGTGAATGTGTGATCAGAACTCATTTTAGGGTTAAAAATGACTTTAAGATCCCAAACACACTGGTAATTAATCTCAGACAGTCACCAGGGAGAGAGAGTACGTTCATGGTTCGGGAACAGAAAATGCAGTGGAGACCAAAGATGATTAAGTCTTTCCAATATTTATTTGGAGTAAATATCTGCTCAACTGCTACGTGCATACTTAAGGATTTTGTATTTTATGTGGTGAAATTGACTAGTTGTGGATCTGTACAGTTATCATAAGATTTGTTATCAATGTTCAAACTCAATACCGGGCTCCAAATCAATGACATTAGATTGACTGACAGATTAAAACTGTTAAACCAAGTGAAGTTTGAGATCCTAGCCAATCACTCCTTGAGCTTTATTTCTGTTTCTGTTCTTTGGTTTCATCCTGTTTGAATTTTCTGGAGCTGGAACTGTTGCACAAATGCTAAACCGGTTTCTGCAAATTAACAAGAGCAGGGCTGAGGGTTTCATCCATGGCTCTCAGCAACCAGGACTTGGACTGAGACAAATCTATTTGTGATCGGGGTCAACAGCAATTACTAGCTAGAAGCACTAGCCCAAATATTATGGGACGTGAGGAGTAAGAGTTTACTGTTTCAGACAAGAAAATAACCTATTTATCATAAATTATTTGTGTCCATCAAACTAGTGGAGGAAAATGTCTTTGCCTTCACCTATTCAAGACAGTAGAATCTTGAGATCAGCCAATGGGAAATAATATATTGGTCCCTATAATCTATAACTGGATCACTGGTTTTGTCCATGGTAATTGATACAAATTGTGTTTAATTGCAGATCCTAACGTGGCCCTAACGTTTTTGGAAAAGACAAAAGAAAAGGTGAGAGCTTTGTGTTGTATTGCATTGGTTTTGTTCAATTTGCTTTGTTTGTTCTATTTATTTTTTGCTTACTTTGTTTTAGGTCAAATCCAGTGATGAGGCAGTGATTCTCTGCAAAACAGCTATTGGTGCTTTGAAATTAAATGTTGGAGATCTGCCAGTGACAAAGGTAAAGTATAATTGGCACTGTCCTTGATTTCATGTCTATGTACAGGGAAACACTTCAGAATATAGCAAGGTTACATCACTATTTCTCAAGTTAGAACTTCAATTTAGTATATACACAGTTGGAGCTGTGGCATGGTACAATTTTAGTGAGCACAATTGTGCATTCATCACCCTAAACTGAGACCATGAGAAACATTCAGGATCCTAGATTTACTGCAATGAGAGACTCTATCCAAACTGAACTGGGAAAATTTGTTGATTAAGATGATGCAACGTTCTGAAAATCTTGTGCTACAAGTCAAGCTTATTCCAATCGAGTAGAAACTGCACTTGCCAAAAAAGATAGCCATCAATAACTAAAAAGAGTGAACATAAAATGAAGAGAAAAAGCATTTAAAAGTAGAAAAACGTGAAGAACAAGAGTGAGTGACAAGATGACAGTAATAACGGCTACAAAAGAATTGCTTATGGACACAATTCTTCGGGTGCTAAAATAGTATCCATGTAGTAAAGAAGTTTGTGCAATTGTCAGCAAACATCCCATCTCTGATCTGTAGATTGGATCAGCTGAAACCTCCACCACCGCACCTCGAACTTCTGCAGCAAACTCCCTGGCTGAGATAATAAGTCATCAGTAATTCTGCTGGGATTGACTCCAACCAGTGGAGAGTCCCTTAATATTTCAAATCCAATATAACTCTTCAAAACTTTTCTGAAGTCATATCAGACTGGACATATTAACTCTTTGTCTCGGTACTGATGTTGCCAAACCTGCAGAGTTGCTCCAGCACTTTGTTTTTATTTCAGATTTGCAGCAAAATCCAGCCTTCTCTTGGATCATAAAGAGCTTTGACTGACTCATTTGATTGAATATTTGTCAACAAAAATAGTGGATGGGGATCTCCCTAATTGGTATTTGCATGGAATTCCAATAAGTTGCTTGAGGTTGAAGGCAAAAATATCGTGCTGGATAGGAAACTGAGCAATAGAAAGCAGTGCAGATGAAGGACAGGTGCCCTGTACAAAATATGACCCAGATCCTGTGAGGATTTGTGTTTTGGCCTCAACTTATTTATACTTATTGACTACTTTGAGGTAGAGTCATGCATCCAAATTTGACAATGACAGAAAGATAGGCAGTGTTGTATATATGAAATTGCAAAGGCTTTATAGGATTGAGATAAATGCAAGTATATGGAGTTGGGTTACAGATCTGCCATGAAAAAAGAAAACAGACCGGAGGATTTAATGACATCTCCCCTGTTTACATGTTCTTTTATCAGCATTATTGCCAATGTTGACAAGACATGCTCTTCAATTAATTGAGAAATATCAGAATGGGGACATCTCTGGTATAATTAGTTATTGGTTGCATAAAATCTAAATCCTGGGGTCAAAACCCCCAATTGTTTAAAGTTAAATTTAGCGTCAATAATCATTTATTTCTTTATTCTTATTCCTGTTCCTGTATTGTTGTATATCTAGGAAGATGTAACTATGTTAAAAAGAATAACTTGAACTCAATTTGTATTCTTTCAGAAAACAATTGAGGAGGTGGATGAGATGCTGACTAACCTTCCTGGGGTTACATCAGTTCATGGACGCTTTTATGATCTGTCAAGCAAGTACTACCAGATAGTCGGAAATCATGCTTCCTACTACAAGGATGCCCTGCGGTTCCTGGGTTGCATTGATATCAAAGATTTGCCAGGTAACTGACAGCGTTAAAAGAGCAGTCGGTCAGCGTGTAGAGTGATTGATTGAGGAAGAGCTTTAGGTTAAGTCTAGTGAGTCTAATAGGAAGAACAGGCAGGGCTAGGTTAATGAAAGCAGTGGGACTGGCGGTCTAAGTATTTATTTAAATGCAAGGTGTATAACAATTAAGGCAGATGAATTTGGAACCTGGATAAATAGTGAAACTATGTTGTAGCCATTACAGAAACTTGGTTGAGAGAAGGGCAGGACTAGCAACTCAACTTTCCAAGGTTTAGATGTTTCAGACATGATAAGAGAGGAATGTAGTAGTGGTGGGGGACATTGCATTACTGATTAAGGACCGTGTCACAGCTGCACTAAGAGGATATCTTGGTGTTCATCCAGCAAGGCAATATGGGTAGAATTCAGGAATAAAGAGTGCAAAAACTATGATGGGGTTATACTGTAAGCCTCCCAATAGACAGTGGGAGACAGAGGAACAGATACATAAGCAGATCATGGAAAGATATAAAAACTACATTGTTGTAATGAGTGATTTTAACTTCCTCAGTAATGGCTGGGATTTAGTGTTAGTGCCATGGCCTTGGCTGGGGCAGAACTTTTTTAGGTCCATCTAGGAGGGTTTCTTGAAACAATATGTAACTAGCCTAACTAGGGAAGGCACCGTACTCAACCGTGTTTTGGGGAAAGTGCCTGACCAGATGATCCAAATCTCACTGGGGGAGCATTTTGGGAATAGTCCATGTGCATAGATCACTGAAAGTTGCCACCCAGGTTGATAGGGTTGTTAAGAAGGTGTACAGTGTGTTAGGTTTTATTGGCAGAGGGATTGAGTTTCAGAGCCATGAGGTCATGTTGCAGCTGTACAAAACTCTGGTGCGGCCGCACTTGGAGAATTGCGTACAGTTCTGGTCGCCGCATTATAGGAAGGATGTGGAAGCATTGGAAAGGGTGCAGAGGAGATTTACCAGGATGTTGCCTGGTATGGAGGGAAGGTCTTATGAGGAAAGGCTGAAGGACTTGAGGCTGTTTTCATTAGAGAGAAGAAGGTTAAGAGGTGACTTAATAGAGACATACAAGATGATCAGAGGATTAGATAGGGTGGACAGTGAGAGCCTTTTTCCTCGGATGGTGATGGCTAGCATGAGGGAACGTAGCTTTAAATTGAGGGGTGATAGATATAGGACAGATGTCAGAGGTAGGTTCTTTACTCAGAGAATAGTAAGGGCGTAGAATGCCCTGCCTGCAACAGTAGTAGACTCGCCAACTTTAAGGGCATTTAAATGGTCATTGGATAAACATATGGATGATAATGGAATAGT